GCCTCGCCTCGCCTCGCCCCGCCCCGGCCGCACCGGCTTTCAAACGGCAGTCGCGTTTGCTCACTCGGCAGGGCCGTCGAGTGTTTCTATACCTTGCGAACCGGCTTTGTTCACAGCATTGACGCTGGGTTGAGCTGTGACTATGAAGCCATGCATTCGGATGAGGAGCCGACCCCACTCAGAGCAAGAGAGAAGGCAGAGCGAGGCGCCAAATGAGGCGTGGGCAAAAAAGGTGATGTCTTGCGAGTCGAAAGCGGCTGGCCCGCCCGCTCGCCCCTCCGCCAGTGACTCGCGAAATTCTTCCTGATCCCCCGGTCCGCCGCGTGCTGAAAGCGTTGTTGGAGCAGTCAAGTCTTCGGCGAATCTCCGAGATTGGCAGTCGCAGAGTCACAAATTGTGCGCCGCTCCAGTGCCGCCAAGCTGTGATTTTCCCCAATCCCAAGGCCCCAAGCCCAGCCAGTCACCATGGGCGCATCACCAACGTTCGGCTTCTCCTTCTCACCCACATCCATCATCGCTGCACTTCCGATCAGCCACCCTCTCCCCTCTCCTCTCCTCTGCCGCTATAGCCACCATGTGTGATCACTCCGAACCCTCCGCCATCCAGCAGGTCAACGGCACCGCCCCCGACACCCATGTCGCCATCGACACCTCGGCCCCCAACACCAACGGCGCCGCCAACGGTGCCAACGGTGCCCTCACCGCCGACAACGGAAACGTAGGCTCCGTACAGCCCTTCAACACGCGCTACTCGGACTTCCTCTCCAACGTGTCCAACTTCAAGATCATCGAGTCCACCCTCCGCGAGGGCGAGCAGTTCGCCAACGCCTTCTTCGACACCGAGACCAAGATCAAGATCGCCAAGGCGCTCGACAAGTTCGGCGTCGACTGCATCGAGCTCACCTCCCCCGCCGCCTCCGAGCAGTCGCGCAAGGACTGCGAGGCCATCTGCAAGCTCGGCCTCAAGGCCAAGGTCATCACCCACATCCGCTGCCACATGGACGACGCCCGCATCGCCGTAGAGACCGGCGTCGACGGCGTCGACGTCGTCATGGGCACCTCCAAGTTCCTCCGCGAATTCTCGCACGGCAAGGACATGACCTACATCACCAAGACCGCCATCGAGGTCATCCAGTTTGTCAAGTCCAAGGGCATCGAGATCCGCTTCTCCACCGAGGACTCCTTCCGCTCCGACCTCGTCGACCTGCTCAGCATCTACCAGGCCGTCGACAAGGTCGGCGTCAACCGCGTCGGCATCGCAGACACCGTCGGCGTCGCAAACCCAAGACAGGTCTACGACCTCGTCCGCACCCTCCGCGGCGTCGTCGGCTGCGACATCGAGTGCCACTTCCACAACGACACCGGCTGCGCCATCGCCAACGCCTACACCGCCCTCGAGGCAGGCGCCACCCACGTAGACACCTCGGTGCTCGGCATCGGCGAGCGCAACGGCATCCCCTCGCTCGGCGGCTTCATCGCACGCATGTACACCGCCGACCGCGAATACGTGATGAGCAAGTACAACCTCAAGGCGCTCCGCGAGGTCGAGAACCTCGTCGCCGAGGCCGTCCAGATCCAGGTGCCCTTCAACAACTACGTGACCGGCTACTGCGCCTTCACCCACAAGGCCGGCATCCACGCCAAGGCCATCCTCGCCAACCCGTCCACATACGAGATCATCCGCCCCGAGGACTTTGGCATGAGCCGCTACGTCTCCATCGGCCACCGCCTCACCGGCTGGAACGCGGTCAAGTCGAGGTGCGAGCAGCTCGAGCTCAACCTCACCGAGGACCAGGTCAAGGAGGTCACCGCCAAGATCAAGCAGCTCGCAGACGTGCGCGAGCAGACCATGGAGGACGTCGACTCGATCCTCAGGAACTACGCGCGCGCCATCGAGAACGGCACCGCCTAAGTTCTTCCTGAATCGCAATTCTCGTACAACCAAAACACGGCTCAGCGGGCAGTCCTAGACGACACACTCCCGACTGCTTGATCGATACAGCCGGCCCGCTGCGGTTCGTTCCGTCGCATCCTCACATCATCCCCTGCATCCTTTTCTTCGTCCTGGCTTCCCTTTTCCGTTTTTTTTTTCGCGTCGTTTCCTCTTGGCTCCAATCGCAACGTTTTGACCCGATCCGCTCCGTGTGGTGCAGTGCGGCAGTGTTTGTAGGAGTGTGGCGAGGTGAGAGGGCAAGGCGAAAGGACGAGTAGGTTGGGCAGTTCGTAGATTGCGATTGGCGGTGCACTTGCGGTGTGTTGTGGAGACCAGGCGGATGCGTGCATGCTGCGATTCTGGCACGATGGCAGTGGGTTCGGGTGTAGTGCAGTCGCGGTGACAAGGCAGTGTGGCTGCGAGCACTGTGCTTTGGTGAGGCCTTGTTTCGGCGGTCGAGGGATTTTGGTTGTGCGCTCCGTTTGCAGTCGGCCCGGCTTGTCGGTGCACGCCAAGATGGGTGCCAAGTCGGTGCTTGCTTCAGCCAGAGCTGTAGCTCCTTCCACACGGTACAGTGTCCATGCTGCGAGTCACCATGCTTGCGCCGCACCAAGCTGTGTGCCGCACTTTCGACATGCATTGCGCACAAACCCGAGCCAGTGC